AATTCAATTTTTCTCAATATTTTTAATAAAAGTATACATAATTTAAAATTTTTATTTTAATTTAAAAGAAAATAAATTATTACCTTCAGTAAGTCCTATAACAACGAAGAGTTATAAATATTATTAAATATCTATAAAAAAAAAAATACTAATGATAATTAACTGACTAAAAGTATAAAAAAAATGTTTAACTTTTAACGGCACTCTCCGTGCACAGCTTTTATCGAGCACACATGTTTATTAAACGTCCGCGATTCTTTTTATGTTTCACTTATAAAACATTGTCGATTTTAACAAAATCAATACCGTTGAAAAGGGGAAAAAAAAGACGAATCATTAGTATTTCAGGTCTTATCCACTACGGAGGTCTGTGCAGCCCCAAGGTAAGAAAAATCACATTTTTAATTACCATTGCACAAAATGTCTAACCAAAATAATACGCTGCCGCGCTCGTTATCTAACCAAAATAACACGTCACTGCGCTCACCACCACAAAAGAAGCCATACAACAACAAGCCGATAACTCCAATTAAAATTGTAAATGGCAATCAAATAATTAAACAAAATGAAATAGTAAACACCGACCCGGACGATTTATCATCTGTTGATTGGACATTGGTAATGTCTCCTTACTCCCAAAAACGTCAGCACATTCCATCACCTATTACGTCTCCCAAAACCAAACAAAGCAATACATCAAGTCAGTTTACAACAAAAAATCGTTACGCCTCACTTTCTGAAAACTTATCTACTCAGGAAATGGATACTGATCAAACGTCTGAATTACCAAATACCAAACCACAATTACCACCTCCAATTTTTATCAAATCTGAATTAAACTATAAAAATTTCTGTGACGCTATCAAACTATTAATCGGTCCCGAAGAATTCTTTTGCAAAAGTCTTATAAATAACCTAAAACTTCAAACAAAATCGGCTGATTCATTCCGAAAAGTAACTAAACTGCTCAAAGAAAAAGGAGTTGATTTTCACACTTATCAAGTTAAACAAGATAAACCATACAGAGTCGTTTTTCGGAACTTACATCATACCACGCCTATCGATCTTATTATCCAAGAATTAAATGAAAACGAATTCACTGCAAGACAAGTTGTAAATGTAAAAAATAAAACAACAAAACTACCGTTACCCCTATTTTTCATAGACCTTGAACCTGACCAAAATAACAAAGAAATATTTAAATTAACTTCAATATGCTACACCAAAATTAAAGTTGTAGAACCACACCCCCGATGCCAAGATTTTGGTCACTCGAGAACATACTGTAATCACGCACCTCGATGCGTGAAATGTGGGGAAAATCACAATACTTCTGCCTGTTTAAAACCCATCCACCAACCACCAAAATGCGTACTCTGCGAAGGACAACACCCACCAAGTTATCGAGGTTGCGTTGTGTATAAAAATCTACAACAAAGACACCAGAAAAATAAAAATAAAATTAACCAAGATTTCCAATCTGATATTAAATTATTAAGTAACAATAATCCCATACTTGTTAAAGAGGTCTATTGCACCACCCCAAATGATAATATTAATACTAATAATCAGCCTCACACTCAATCATACGCAGATGCCTCTTGTCAATTTAATAATACAAAAATCCATGAAAAAATCACCAATTACTTTTCCTAACAGCTCACCTCATTCCTAGATGATTTTAAATTAATTATTAATCCACTTATTTCACTTCTCCCAACGGTTATCAACAAACTTTTAATAAAAAATAATGAATAACTCCACCCAATCCCATCCCTCATTAAACATTTTACTCTGGAACGCAAACGGTGCCATTCAACCAAACAAGAACTTCATAACTTATTATTTGAAAAAGAAATTGATATATTCCAAACTCGACTCTCATAAAAATCCTCTTATAAAAAATATGTCTTTTCACGTTCTACCTGGAAATCCAAAACGACGTTTAAAAAGGAACTGATCCCGTGACCTATTATAATAAATTGCCAAATTACAAATTATGAGGGTGTTGCCAATGGGCCTCTCCCCCAATCATGCTATTCATGCTATTGTTATTCATAATATTTATCATATTTACTTATTGTTTTTGTTTTTATGTATAGATTGTAAATTTCTTTAAAATAAAAAAAATAAAATAAAAAAAAGAGATCTTTCTCGTCTTCAAACTATTTTAATTTCTTTGATTAATTAATAATCTATGATTTTACATCGAGCTGTTAAACCGAGTAAACGCAGTAATAATATAAATTATACGGGTAGGTAAGCAATTAATAAAAAATACTTTCGAATTGTACCTTTATTTAAATAATATGATTTTTGTTGTGACAAGTTATTAATGTACGTTCATTTTTAATCAAATTCGTTTACGCTAATTTCTAGTCCAGTCTTCTTTTTTAAAAACTTAATTTTAGTTTGTGTTCACTCAAGCTATATTAATACTTTATATACCATACTCTCAGCTATAGTTATTTTACTTGAATGGCTATGTTGAGTTAATATTTATTTTTTCCGTCTGATGTGAACGCTATAATTACCACTATTATAAATTGCTCACTTTTATAACGCATATAATTTCTACATTATTCTTACTGCTCTTTAGGCAAAAGTATGATGTTCCTTTGTAAGAATTATTATGAATAAACATTTCAATGTATCATCGCAATATGGATTATACGAATATATTCACATGATTTCTATAATTTTATCGTTAAAAATTACTTACAATTATCCTTTTACCTTCTGAAATCTAACTTTGACTATCTTCACCAATTTCAATGTAAATTAAAAAAAAAAAAAAATGTATATCTACTTTACACAGTTGTATAATCATAAATTGAATTATCTAAAAAAAAAAAACATCAATAACATTTTTGTTTTGGTAGTTGTAATTAATTCAATTTTATACTGAACTACCGATATCATTGTCTACGATTATATTGAGCAGAATTTTGTTATAGCTCATAAACAAATATTTTATAATTAACTTATACTTATTTCTAATAAGTAAATTATATAACATGTAATAATGTACTTAGTAAAAACAATTAATATTCTAATTCACAGAAAATATATTTCTAACCTCTATTGATGCAACATTAAAATTATATAAAAAATTATAAAATATAACTCTAAATCAGATTTACCAATATATGTGTAATAGATAGAAAATATTGATATAGTGACAATACTATAATTATTATGATAAATAATATTTTATATTATATTAAAAACATTTGTATCAAATCAATCTACATAGTATTTTGATTTGTTAAGGCTAAAAAATAACTGATAATTTGGATTTAATAATTTGAATGCAATAAAATTTAATTATAATACGTGTTAGATATTGCATATGCAGTTAACATTATAAAGATTTTTTTAAATATTTTAACTTCGATGTTACATGAAAAATCGATTTGGTTTTACCACTCACATCCAAATCACTGAATCGATAATACTAAACAACTTATAGCCACTATGTCGCACTTTATCACATCAAATTTTATAATAAAACTAGTAGGTTTTTCTATAACTAATTTTTTTTTTTTTAACTTTATGAGTGTTAATACGGAAAGATGTAAAACAAGTGATTTTTCTCTCAAATCCTATTTAGATCGTACTTTTCCCACCCATCTACAAATTAAACATGACTCATAAGTCATGACTTACTGCACTATTAAATAATTTGACAACGGTTTTGCATGCGTTCAACGCAGTGACACCGATGGTCGTGGTACAAGACATCTTGTACTCGAAATCGATAAGTAGAATATTGTAAAAAAAATGTTAAAATCCGACTTGTACAATTTCTCATCCCCTCTGTCCCTTCACCGCATTAGGACCACGTCGTCCAAATTATATATTATATATTATAGGTAACTGAACGTTTACCCTGTCTATGTTCGCGAATGCAGCGTTCTCGAGAAATCGTGTATAAGGAAAGCGTCATTTATTTTCTCCCCCTCCCACTCACCATCGCTCCTTAACTTTCTTCCCGTCTCTCGCCATATTTCTCTAGGACAACGATTATTCTGTTTCGCAACAGTTTTTGCTTTGTGTATAATATTTTTCACATCGCCCGTTCTGTAATATCTTCCTTGCGAAAACTCCAGCTTGCATGCTGTGTAGGCGTGTGGGTTTGTGTGTGCGTTCGTATATAGACAATATAGGTGTTCGGTGGCGAGTACGTATAGTTAGTCCTCTCGGTCTTAATTTGCATACAAAGTGGGTGGTGTGCCGGTAGGTGGTGGTGTTGGGGGTGTCGGGGTTGGATCCGAAGGAATCGTGGGCATTGCGCCTGGTCGCGTTGACCCAGATACGCGCCGGGACGGCCAGGGGCGACCTATGCGAATCGAGGCGGCGCTCGGGCGTGTCGCCGAGTGCCAAGGACACGCCCACGAACGGATTCGGCGCTGCCGGTGTCCGAAGGGACCGACCGGTCGCACTGAGCGTTCGTCACGCGCCCGAGCTCGATCACCGCGACTGTAGCCGCCGCACTTTCCCCCGCCATCCCTTGCAGCAGCAGCAGCAGCAGCAGGAGGATCAGGTTCAAGATCAGCAGCCGCCAGAAGCCCCCACCCCCGACCACGGTACCCGCTGCTCTCACCGTGGCCGCCGTCCTGCAGCATTAGGACAGGACTGTCGCATCTGTCCGTCGCCCGTGTTTCTCGTCTCGCGCAAAACTCGCAGCGATCTCGCATCGCAACGCGTCCATTACTGGTCTGCGACACTAAACGGACGACGAGCACGGGACCGCTGCAAGCGCCGAAGACACATACCCTTATGACGTGCTCGTTCCGTTGAAAAGCTCGCGCGAGTACGGGGGTGGGGGCCACGGGATCGCGTGCGGCCAAGTCGGCTCTCGGGTCAAGGTGGAGACGAACGCGACGTACGCGACGGCCGACCAGGCCGGCGGACCTGCTGCTGCAGCGGCAAAAAACGGAGGCGCTGCCAGCTCCGGCGTGGGCACTCGGTTGCACACGGCCATTGCGTCCGTCACGGCGTCACCGTCGAGGATAGCCACCACCATCCGGGGCTTCTGGCAGACGTCCGCGGGCCCGGCTGCGAACTCGGTTCTAGGTGAGCACAAACCATTTTTTGTCACTGTCGTAGATCGTTCGATTATCGCGTTACCGCCATCCACGTCCTACCGGCTAACCTCCCACCCGTGCACCGTTTACCGGGACGGGATTTCGTTCGATTACCGTTTTCGATCGAGGTGTTTACTCGACATGATTATCGTTTTTCACCGGATTTCGTACGGTCCTACCGGTACGCTGAGTTGCTGCGCGATCGTTGTTGCGAAGACGGTTTTCGTCATGTACAAAAAGAACGACCCCCTATGGGTTCGATGATTTCGTTTGAAATGGTATTCTAAGTGCACGCGATTAACAGTTATAAATCGTTTAGTATAGCTCGAGATCTGATTAAAGATGTCGGACAAAAATACGGTCTATAGATTTATTTTTATTTGAATGTGTATTTTACTCAGCTGTTTTGTTTTAAAGTATATTTCATGCACATCTCAGAAACTCTTTGAATAAACTTGTAATTTTAAGATGCAAAGAACGCTACAAAGTTTTTTACAACGTGAACATGATCATATAATAACGTTTGTATAATTTAGAATAAGTTACAGAATTTGTCTTTTGAACTCATAGTTTCACTGCCGATAACCCGTTTATGCTCACCAGTTTACTCGCCAGTTGTTTCAACCAAACTTTTTCCTCTTTGCTTCTAAACGATTTTATTTTTCTAGAAAATGTGTATTTGCGTATACGAGAAAATTGTAGTTGATTATGAATAATATTTTTAGTATTCAATAGAATTCCGAATCTTTTGCATGCAAGTTCGGCTCCATCACTTATTATCATGTATGACTTACATATTGTCAAAAAATATACATTGCTTATGAGCATTTAAGAGTGTAGACAAGTAATAATGAAATTGTTTCATCGTTATATCTCGGTCATCTAATTAAATCTTCTTCAAGTCATGTCATCTGACTGTATAATTATATATTCTTTGACATTTCAAAGTGTATATATTATTAAATAAAGAAATTGTTACTGTTAGTTTAAATCAATATATATTTATTGATACGTCAATGATATCAATAATAGTAAATTTAATACTAGGTTAGTATTTCGGTACACCATTTTTCAAAGGTTATAGAAAGATGAATAGAAAATTGTCTTCTTTCTCTGGGTTACATAACTATCTATTTATATCTGAAATTAAGAAATAATAAAAATGCGATGAAAACAAAATTTTTGATACATAAGGATTTAGAAGAATCAATCATAATTTAATTAATTAATTGTAATGATATAATGTATAACAAATTATTATTACGTGGATCAACGTGTAACAAAACAAAAGAAAAATTGTCAAAGTTTTTACCGTTATGAAAATGCTGTGTTTAGAATCCGTCCATTGAAGTCTTAGGAAACATACATACAATTCATAAGGTGTAAAATAATTTGATTTAATTAATTTAATTCTTTCTTTCTGAAATACCGATTTTTCATAGAATCTTTCTAAGTATATAAAAATAATATAAATCATTATATTTTATTCAAATTGTGTATCAATCTTTTGATAATCACAACTTTATCTAGTATGTTATCACATAGTATAACACAAATCTTAAATTTGTCTTTTATCACAGTTACATTTATTTAAATGGAAAAACATTAAACAAGTTTTATTAGTTTACTGAAATTCCTTTTCTTACTCGAATATTAAAAAAAAAAAAAAAAAATAGACCCACCTAATTCTTACTATTAGGTAATTTCTGATTATTTTAAATTGATTTAACTTTATTTGTATTCTGCAATGTCTGAAATTCATGCAAAATAAATTATCAAGTATGCTTTCCCATTAGCTTATGGTTATTAAGTTTTAAAAAAAATTATATTTCATTGTTTCACACATCAATTTTGACAAATTTAGAAATTTAAAATAAATTAACTCAATGAAAACTTATTTTCTTAAACCATAAAATAACTTTAATAATTAAATAATCTTTAACATGCAAATTATTTCATAATTTTTGATTGGTTGATAGTTAATCTATATAGGTACAGTAGAAATCGAGAGCAACAAAACTTGAACAGTTTTTTTTTCAAGATGAATAAATAAAAAAACTTTATTAATTCCAAATCGATTTCTATATTTACTAAGTTATAAGTCTGATTTAAAATACTCAACTATTAAGTCTAATTGCGCATTTAGAAATTAGTAAATTTAGTTTTTTTTTTAATGGCAATTATGTAACAAAAACTATACGGGGAATTAATACGGTCATTCAAGAATTCCGTCGGAATAAAGAATAAGTAGTTTAAAATATAAATCTGAAAAAAATCAACATTATATTTACATAATATGTTATTCGATTTGCGGAAAACTGCAGTGCCGAATTAATAATACGTGATCTACCACCAACAATTTAATGAATCGACACATAATTGTTGTCATACATCCTTTTAAATGGACATTGTCACTTCAAAAATATGACGTAACTGCGTCTGTCTAATACGAATGGAACACATACCTCACTGTCACGTATCTACGGGGTAATCAGTAAGATAAACTACGTATTTGTATAAGATTTCATCACACACCACCGTCGTCCTTGAATGAAGTTCGATTCAAAACTGTCGTTTACAATCTTCTCCAAACCCCCACGGCATTTAGGATCCAGATCAGGAAATAACCTAACACAGTATTCTTTGTTTTAGCACGTCACGATTTGTGTTCAAATCAAAAGATTATTTTTAAACAACCCTGTGTCGACACATTATTGCGATTCGCAATTAATAAACGCTCTATCACTAGATGTAAATCGTCAACATACGAGTAGGTGTGATTTGAAATGTCTATTAGAACAATATAATTGTATTAACTACGACAGTTTCAGTTATTGAGAATTTATATATTCGTCTTACATTTTGATCTGTAGAAACAAAGAAGTCGGAAACTCCTTAATTGCATTAGTTGTTGGGACTTGATTGTACATATTTGAAAACAATGATTATTTTATTCGAAAACGACTTCATGTGAAAGTTTATGTGACGTATATATATATATATATATATATATATATACATTAAAATAAGTATACCTTCGTAAACCGTTAGTATCCATGACAATTTTGGTGTAGTTCTAAATAAAATTTAAAAAAATTAAAAATAAATAAATTTAAAAAATGTATAATTAATTAAAAATATATTAATTTTTTAAAAACACATGACTGAGTTAACTTTTTTGAATTGATAGAGTTAGTTTATAAGAATTAGATTATTTTTAAATAAAACTTTTAAGTTACCAAAGACATTATTGTATGTAATATAATTTCCATAATATCCAAATATGTTTTTGTTTACTTATGTTCAATTTTTTCTTGCATTTAGTAGATATCTTAAGAAGATCAAAAAATATAACCTTACTAAAATACCATCTGTGACCTATTTCTAATCTAAGAGGTTGTATTAATCTTTTGGTGCTGATTTCATTTCTTAAAAGTATTTTCAGCAAATAAAACCAATACATTTTTACTTCCCTCAAAATCTAACATTATTTTTATCCTATGAAGAACCATATATTTTCTTAGTTCATAAAAACTTAATTTTATGATAAATAAATCAGTGAAATTATATATGATATTATATATCACATAAGCGAGTCGAAGTAAGCAAAAACATGAGGTGAAAATTTACAAAATTTAGAATAGACCTGAATTCATGGACATGCGAAAAAAAAAACAAAAAAAATATACAATAAAATCTGCTGCTTATTTTCGTTTCACTTTAAGGTTTATGACGGCAGGAAGTTATTTTATTTTCTGGAAATACAAAAAAAAAAAAAATAATCGATTTATATTATTTCGTTTTTTTCTACAAAGATTAAATATCAGAATATCTTTCGTTAGAAAAACGAGCAAAAATTAAAAAGTTGTAACCGATACAAAATTAAGTTTTCATTTGCCTTTGATGGTATTTTTTATTTTTTATTTTTTTTATGTCTTCACTCTACAATTTCAATGTGCAAATGGTTTGTCTTTAGTAAAATAAGAAAACAAAATACTGAGGTAGAATATGAGACATTTTTCTTTAAATATAAATAATATAAATTATATGTGAAATCAGTTTGATTATTACATAAAAAGAATACCGACTACATAAGTGTTAAATAAGTGCTATATGCTTGATTAATATATGATACAAGATGTGAAAAAAAGGAAGCTTTTTGCTTGATATCAATAAAATATATAGTACACAAGTGTGGTACTCTATTTTAAATCTAGAAAAATTGTAAAATTACAATAATTTATACACTATAATAACGTACAAAATAAAAATTTTGTGAATCGTAACATGTGACATTATTTTAAAACGATTGATTGCAGATGTTAAAATATTATAATTTAATCAATATGTATGGCAAACTTTTTTTTAGCATTTCACTCCTAAACCCAGTTTAATAAAGTACCAAACTAATTATTTTGTTGTTCAAAGCCATAAAATAATTGAAGAAAATATAATAAACAATATCAAGATTTGATAAAATTACTTATATTTAGCTATTTATAACTTCTGAACAATATTTAATTTATTTAAATCTTTAATTTTGGTTAAATTTTGTTTTAACGTAAAAAAGTTATAGAAAAATAACTAAGAATTATAATCCGTTATTTTGTGTGACATAAAATTAATATATAAGTTTCATAAATTGATATAAGCCAACTTTTAATTATTCTAAATATAATTTATTTCTAAATCAAAATTATTAACTAATTCTTTAAACCAATAACTTATTTAAAGATTGCTATTGCAAATTAATGATCGTGTTTTAACTGCAATCGAATTAAAAGTGTTCTAAATTGTTTTAATTTTTTTATTTCTGTAACTGTTTGATCCAAAATTATTCACGTTCCTTTTTAAATTAAATATAAATTGTAGAAAATAGATCCCTAAATGAAATTATAAATTTTAATTATTTGATATTTATTTTATGTTCTTGGGCATAAATTTAGTTTAAAATATTCTGTAAAATAGAAATCATCTAGACAAAATATT